CCCAAAGCCCTATTCTAATTGCTAAGGCCCCTACTTAAAGGATCATGGGACTTAGTAAGTAGGGTTATAATTAAGGTAACTATACTTATATTTACTTATAACCCCAATTAAGGGACTTATAACCTTACTTACAAAGTCCCATGATCCTCCAAGTATATGAAAACCTCCAATCCATCCGAAGAAGTGACTTGCCTTCGGGCCCCCGTCGGTGCTTCCATTCTCCAGATCGGGGCCTGCCGTTGCAAGTTAGGGTTCATGGGTTAGGGTTTAGGGTTCAGGGTTTTTGGGAATTAGTTAGGGTTCAGGGGGTTTGGGTTTCGGGCTTAGGGTCGCAACCCCAAACCCTGAACACCGAACCGTCAGCCCTGAACCCTAAACCCTGAACTTCAAAGCCCTAAACTGCGAGGGCCCGAGAGCTGCACCATTGAATCAAAGTATTGGAGGTGCTTTGCTTTTCAGGTTCTATGGGGGGTAGTTCTCTAAATTAGCATCCATGTCGGGGTCCTTTGTATAAAGGGTGCCGCACTATAGTGGGGACCTAAAAAAGACTCTAATGTAGAGAACCACCCAGAGAGGAACCCTTATAGCACCCTCAATTATAGAAACCCTTATAGACCCCTTTAAGGAATCCTAAACCCTTATAGTACCCGTATAGAAACCCTTATAGACCCCTTTAAGGAATCCTAGAAAGGGCCCTAGTTTAGAGAACTACCCAACCCTAAACCCTAAACCCTAAACCCCTAAACCCTTTAACCCTAATCCCTAAACCCTAAACCCCTAAACCCTTTAACCCTAAACCCTAAACCCTAAACCGTATGGGGCGTCGGAGGTTGCAGGTTGGGGGTTTTTACTGTTTCGGATTGAAGGTTCAGCTAGGCCCACGGGGGAGGGACCCAACAGGGTCCCAGAGGCCTCGTTGACTCTTCGAGAGGGTTTAGGGTTTAGGGGTTTTAGGGTTTAGGGGGTTTAGGATTTAGGGTTTAGCGGTTTGGGGGTTAGGGGTTTAGGGTGCAGGGTTGGGGATTTGTCTAATCCACTTCTCGTTCCCTGGGGTCTTTGAAGAAGTTTGCAGGATAAGTAGTTTTGCGTGGCTGACAATCTGTTCCTGTCCTTCTTGTTCTGGGAGTCCTTTCAACAACCTGCTAAAGTAAACACTGCAACGAACAAATCAAGAGCTACGAGTGTGATGCGTAGCACTTCCAGCGAGGCTGCAGTGGCCGAAATGTCTTCACCTTACTTAACTGCTGAAAACTGCGCAGAAAACATGAACGGATCCTTCGCAAGGTTTTCAGCACACAAAGCAGTAACCCACGGAGATACTCCCGGCCTTCCAGCAGGGCGCCGTGAACGGCACCCGACCGCGACTCGACCGCGAAATGGACCTCAGAGAATCGAAGAAACTACTGTTGATGATGCCTCCGCATGACCTTAAGGACCCTAAACTATGGGAACTATGGCATACTTAAGGACCCTAAACTATGGGAATTATGGTATACTTAAGGACCCTAAACTATGGGAATTATGGTATACTTAATTAAGGACCCTAAACTATGGGAATTATGGCATACTCCTTGTTATGGGTAATGCAGGATTTATATCATCAACCGTATCACTACGACTCACTCATGGCAGGGCTTCACCAGGCTCCGCGCCGTCAGCCACATGGTGTAAGCATACGCCTGCGCATCAGAAAGCCAGCAACAAAAGTTACTGTGGTTTAGGGTTTAGGGTTTAGGGTTTAGTTACTGTGCGAACGAAGAAGACAGTAATGTAGGGGCCTGAAATAATTAGAATAGGGTTTTGGGGCCCAGTAAACTATAACTATTATGAGGAACCCCCCCAACTTTGAAGCCCTGTACCCTGGCCCAAAAAAAGCTTAAACTTTTCTTTTAGTAGGGGGTTTAATATACCAAAAAGTTTAAAGTTTACCTACTGGGCTCCTAAGCCAAGATAGTCTTGGTAATTTGAGCCCCTACAGTACTCATGACTCATGACAGTGACCACCAGGATGATGCCAGGTGAGGGTTTAAGGTTCAGGGTTTAGGGTTTAGGGTTTCAGGGTTTAGGGTTTTGGGTTTGGGGTTCAGGGTTTAGGGTTTAGGGTTCAGGGTTCAGGGTTTAGGGTTTACAGTTGAGGGTTCAGGGTTTAGGGTTTAGGGTTGAGGGTTCAGGGTTTAGGGTTTAGGGTTGAGGGTGTAGGGTTTAGGGTTTAGGGTTCTAGACGTCAACACTTTGCTGTGACTTGTGCAGCTTTCCCACGGCCACGCCGACACCTCTAAACGCTTAAGTGCAAGCCTGACTGAAGCTCATACTGTAAATGCCCCCAAACCCACAAACACCAAACATCACCTCTCTGAAGCGCCCCAGACATCTTCACGAAGTCTTAAAAAACCTAAACTTCAAAAAAACCCAAAACCCCAAAACGTCGCGAGCACCCCCTGCTCCCCAAAGCTTCGTTCCTGGTGCCTGCGCGCCGTCCTGGAGACCCACGGACACCTGGGTTCTTGTGCAGGAACTGACTGAGGTTCAGACAGGGGCCTTAATAAAAAAATAGGGTTTGGAGTATATTATAATATAAATATAGTAAGTAACCCCCAAAACCCTGTTCTAATTATAAGGCCCCTACATTACCACAAGTCTGCACAAATCGCTTAACAACCCCCCGGTAGACGAGACACGCGCTTTGATGTGGCTACTTCAGATGAGCCAATACAATTATCCTACAAAGCCCCTACAAAAACCTGCGCCCCAAGACCTCAACAATAAAGCCCTATATCGCCTTGACCCTAAACCCTGAAACCAACTAGCTTAATGTAGACCTTTGATCCATAAACCTGCTTGCCTTTATACGGCATATAACAAGGATCGGCTTTTCCGTTTAGGGTTGGGGTGCAGGTTGTTATAAGCACGTTTTAGGGTTTGGGAAGGGTTCATCTGCATTCAGGTGCCGAAATATGAATTTCATGAACCGGGGGTCTAACCCTAAACCCTAAACC